TTTCGCTTCGCAACCTCGCACAGAGGACTTATGATGAGGTGATTTTCATCGCCTCGCACCCGATCATCGCCTATCCTCCACGCTCACCTCATGTGTGAGGGGGATACCCTCGCGATAGCTTTCACACCTGGAACGAGCATGTCATCTAACGAGACAGAATGCCCGAGCTGTGGTCACATGAGCCAGGACTCGGAATGGTGCGACAATTGCGGCGCACCGCTCGAAGCCGAAGCGACGGCCTCATCCAAAGACTCACCCTCGGCACACCCTCCCAAGAAAGAATGGCTCGAGCCAGGAGACACCCTGACGGTGGCCTGTGACCTCGCGCGGCTTGGCGAGGAGGGGCAGTTTGGGCCCGGGCGCGCGCTGCTCGAGATCGAGCTCCTCGATCTCGTCGAGTCCTCCTCTGTTCGCCATATCTGTCGCGCACGCGTCCAGAACATCATCGAATACGATGGTGAGGTCGCCAAGGATGTCCTCGAGCTCGCGCTCAAGAACACATTCTTCTCGCTCGAAGAGCTCGGCGCCCTGCTCGGCACTCGCGGAGAATCGCTCCCTCCAGAGCTCTCTCCGCTGGTTCGCGTCCCCATCGGCGAGAGCGAGCACAACGAGCACCTCGTCCGCCTGTTTAAAGAGGATGGGTCCGCCACGCTCGAGGAGTACCTCTTCAACGCACAGGGGCAGATCGACTACACCCAGGTCAAGCAGGTCTTTAACTCGCTGCTCGACCTTGTCGAGAGCCTCCACGCCAGAGGCTACATCTACCTGCGCCTCTCCCCATGGACACTGCGCGTCAAGACCACGCACCCGATCCTCGATCCGAGGGCGATGCGCAACGAAGGCGAAATCACCGAAGTCGAGGACGAGGAGCTCCCGTCCGATACGGATGTCGCATCACCAGAAGAGCTCGGCCTCGACGCCGAGTTCGAGGACCCGGCCGCGCGCACAGGTAACCTCGCTGCGGATGATGAGGCTGGTGAAGGAGAGGTGGCGAGCGAAGAAGACCACGCTGACGCCACCGAGCAGGACGCCGAGGAGCCACAAGAAATCCCCGCGGAGCGACCACTCTCGGACGCGCTCTCGGGCACCGACGCGTTCGAAGACGAGGACGACGAAGACGACCTCGCCGACGCCGACGCCAGCGCCGAAGCAGATGTCCACGAGACATCGAACCCACTCCACGACGCGCTCGATCACCTCGAGGAGCCACTCTCCGAGGACACCTCCCCTGGATTCCCAGGGCTCGAGTACGACGCCGATGCGCTCAGCGAGCCGTTCGTGCAAGGGATCGAGCGCGCGCTCCTCGATGGAGGGTTTCGATTCTACCGCGCCGGCCAGGACTACCAGGAGGTCCCCGTCGTCGTCGGATTCTCACCGCCCGAAATGTTCGGTCGCTCGCGCGCTGAGATCGGCACCCACTGTGACATCTTCTCGCTCGGGATGCTGCTCTACTTCTTGATCTCGGGAGAGCTCCCGCCAACCTCGATTTACACGAGACACATCCCCGCGATCCCATCGCGGCACTTCCGCCCTGACTTCCCGATGGGGTTGCAGACGATCATCAACCGCGCGACGCGCCCCTCGCCAAACGAGCGCTACGCCGATGTCGCCTCGATGCGCGACTCCTTCGAGCGCGCGTGCGAACTGATCGAGCAACGCCTAGAGGCGATGCAGGTGCAAAAGCCACCGCGCATCGATCAAGCGGTAGAGCGACACATCGGCATCGCCAAGCGTCTGCGCAACCCGGTCAACCAGGACAACGTCTTCGGCGCCAAGAGCCCCGACAGCCGCTTCTCCCTACTGGTCGTCGCAGATGGCGTCTCGACAGCCTCTTTTGGCTCGGGAGATCTTGCCAGCCAACAGCTCACCGATGTCGCCATCGAACGATGGCCATCGATCCTCGAGCGCTACATGGGCGATGATCCAAACTTCGACGAGTTCCAGATCATCTACGAGCTGATGTGCGAGGCGAACCAACGCATCATCGACTACGTGAACCTCAATCACTTCCCCTTCAACGGCACGCCCCACGAGGTGATGGGCACGACCGCGCTGGTCGCCATCATCAACAACGGGCTCGTGACCCTCGGGGCCCTCGGCGACTCGCGCGCTTACCTGCAACGCGGGACATCCTTCGAGCAGGTTACCATCGACCATAACCTCTGGACGCTCAGCATCCTCGATGGGAGCAACGCGGACAACGCGCTCTCCCTCCCGCATGGCGACGCGCTCGCGCGATGCCTGGGAACCTTCAAGGTCAAGGATCACAAGCTCGACGTATACAACCCCGCGCCTGACTTCTTCCGATTCCCAGTCATGTCCGGAGACACGCTGCTCATGACGACCGACGGACTGATCGACTTCGGCGGCGCGAACACCCTGGCGAGCGAGGATAACATCCTCTCGATACTCCTGGCCGAGAATAACCCCGCGCTCGCCTGCCTCGAACTGATCCTATTGGCAAACCGAGGGGGCGGCGGAGACAACATCGGCATGGCGCTCGCCAAGTTCACCTGAGCGACCGAGCGCGACCGAGCAAAAGAAAACCCGGCCAGAAGCCGGGTTTTCTTCGCTCAGTCACCGCTCGGTCACCGCTCAACTTTCACGTTAAAAAGGGGATTTGTCGAACACTGCGAGCGCCGCTGGCGAAAAGAGCGGTCGCACCACGCCTTGTGGCGCGTGCTCCTCGCGCAGGCTGTAGGCAAACTCCTGGATAAAGACCTCCGCGCCGTCCGCGTCAAAGATCATCCCATCCTCCTCGTAGCTCCCCTCGAGCATGTCGACGAAGACCTTTGGTGCGAGGGCATCACGCAACGCATCGAGTGAAGGATAAGGAACCTCTGCCCACTCCCCCTCCTCGCCCATCATCAGCTCGAGGTCGGTGAGCGGCGCCTGGATCTTCCCTCCACACCAGCTATCGCCGTGGTCTCTCACGACAAGGAGCACTGCGACGATATCTCCGAGAATGGTAGAATAAGCGTGGTTGTAGGTGAGCTCGATCATCGGCGCCATCAGGCATCCACCGACAAAGAGCTCTCCTCGCGAGTCGACATGTTCCCTGACGCGCATATCTCCGCGTATCGCGAGCAGTGACCAGTCCGAGTTCTCGTAAAAGCGCCCGTTGACGTGCATATCACCGCCAACAAAGAACAACCCGCCATCGTGTGTAAAGTTGCCTTCGACGATGAGGTCTCCCAGCACGACCAAATGTGGGGTCCAATCAGTGCCGGTGCTCTTATCGTAGTACACGAAGGAGTCGAGACCGAAGTCCCCCTCGATGGTCAGATCTCCATACACCACGAGATGGTCGGCGAACTCCTCGACCCCGTCTATTCGCTGATCCTCGGGGGTAAACTCGGGGAGCCACTCGCACAGCATCCACCAGGTGCACATCATCGCCTTTCCCCACATGTAGTGAGGCATCCCGAAGCGCTCGTTCTCGAAGTCGTCGTATTTCGGGAACAACTGATAGAGCGATGCCTGCTCGGGCGCCTCTTGCCAGGTTGCCCGGATCGCGTCGATCAATCCTTGCTCGAAATCTAGCCCGTTGACGCTCATCAACGTCACGACATGTTCGGGCAAAGGCCCCGCGTCCAATGCTTCGAGTAATCCTTTGGAAGAAAAAGCCCGCGCCTCGCTCATACAAACATCCTCTTCTAGAGTTTCGTGCCCTTGGGGATCACGACGACGCCTTCATCGGAGACGAAGAAGCGCTCCCTGTCGTGTTCGAGGTCATAGCCGATCACCATATCGGGTGGGATCTCGACATCCTTTTCGATGATCGCGCGTCGAATGCGCGCGCGACGCCCGATCACCGCGCGATCAAAGATCACGCTATCCTCGATGATCGAGTAAGAGTTCACGCGAACCTGTGGGAACAGGATCGAGTTTCGAATCACGCCACCCGAGACGATCCCCCCTTCGGCCACGATGGAGTTGATCGCCATCCCTGTACGACCGCTGAGAGGATCGTCGTGCACGAACTTCGCGGGAGGATAGTGTTGGTAGTGCGTGCGGATCGGCCAGCGCCGATTGTAGAGGTCGAACTCGGGCACGATGGAGACGAGGTCCATCGACGCCTGCCAGTAGGAATCGATCGTGCCGACGTCGCGCCAGTAACCACGCTCGGTGTCTGGCTGACCTGGGATCGTGTTGGTCGAGAAGTCATAGGCGAAGACGCGGCGGCGCGGGTTAGCGACCATGTCAGTGATGACGTTGCGGCCAAAGTCGTGGGCAGAGTCATCATCTCTGGCGTCGCGCACGACATGCTCGACGAGTTCGTCGTGGCGAAAGATGTAATTGCCCATGCTGACGAGCGCGCGCGTCGGATCATTTGGCATCGGTCGAGGCGACTCCGGCTTCTCCTCGAAGCCGATCACCTCGCCATGCTCGTCGACCACGATCACGCCAAACTCCGACGCCTCATCGAGCGGAACCGGGATGGCGGCGATGGTCAGCGCGGCGCTCTGCTCGCGGTGATAATCGAGCATTTGCGACACATCCATTTTATAGATGTGATCGCTGCCGAACACGCACACGTCGACAGGCTCGGCGTCCGACAACAGGTTGAGGTTCTGGTAGATGGCGTCGGCGCTGCCCTGATACCAGTGCTTGCCGGTGCGCTGCTGCGCGGGCACGGCCTCGCAGTAGTGGTCGACCTGATGAGAGAGGCGCCAACCGCGGCTGATGTGGCGATTGAGCGAGTCGCTCTTGTACTGAGTCAGGACGTTGATGTGATAGAAGCCGCTGTTGACGAAGTTCGAGAGCACCAGATCGATCAGACGGTAGCGCCCACCGAACGGGACCGCGGGCTTGGCTCGCTCGTTGGTCAGCGGTCGCAGACGGCTCCCCTCGCCACCGGCGAGGATCATGACCAGGACGTCGTTTTGCATCGCGGCTCCTTGGCTGTGGGAAAAAACATACACCCCGAGCATGGTTTATGAAAAATGCTCGGGGGTTGAAAGTGGCCACGGCAGCAGCTTTAAAATTGGCGCTCAGGTTTAGCCTGGCGCGCCGAACAGGACGATCACCGCGACGCCAACGACAGCAGCGATCAGAACCAGGACCACAGCGGCGACGATCAGGATGGTGTTGCCACCTCCGCCATCGTCCTGTGCAGGCTCGATGGGCGTGGGTTCGGTCGCCCCGGGGTGATGCATCGCCTGGTTTTGCTGCTGTTGCATGGCAGCCTGTCGCTGTTGCTGCTGCATCGCGGCTTGTTGCTGCTGCAAGGCAGCTTGCTGTTGCATCGCTTGCTGTTGTTGCAGGGCGGCCTGTTGCTGGGCGAGCTGTTGCTGGGCAGCCTGCTGCTGCGCTGCGCGCTGTGCCTGCTGTTGCTGCTGAGAGGTGCGCTGACCTTCGGGGGTTTGCATCGCCTGCGCTTGCTCGCGACGCATCTTCTCGGCGGCGGCCTGAGCGTTCTCAGGTCGCATGAGGTCCCCGAGCCCGGCCTCTTGCCAGGTGTCCGCGCCGCCACCCTGTCGCGCCAAGAAGGATGGCGCGTCATCAGCCTCCATCCCGAGATCGAGGCCCCAATCAGCGGGGTTCTCCCAATCACCGGGTTCACCGGAGGGGCCGTGCGCGTCATGAGCCGAGGTCGAGTCGTACATATCCGCGAGCATGAGGTCGAGATCCTCGACCTCCTCGAGCGAGACGAGCGCGTTGATCTCGCGCTGGACGACTTCATTGATTTTGGAGTCGTTGGTGCTGTCTGACTTGCCGCTTCGCGCGTCCATGACGCTGCTGACCAGCCCGGCGATTCCGAAACCGGTGACGGGGCGACCGAAGCCATAGAGGAAGTCTGCGAGCGCCTCGGCCAGTGATCTGGCATCCTGGTAGCGACGGTTGATATCCTTTGCCAGCGCGCGCTCGATGATCTCGACAAGCTGGTGCGGGACATCCGAGCGCACCGATTGCATATCGGGGATCTTGGCGACCTGAACTTGCTTGAGGGTCTCGTAGTCGGATTTGCCGAGGAAGAGCCTGCGCCCCATCAGCATCTCCCACAACAGAATCCCCACGGCGAAGACATCCGTGCGAAGATCCACGCCTTCGCCGTTGGCTGCCTCTGGAGAGAGGTAGCCGAACTTCCCTTTGACCACGCCGGGATCGGTCTGCTCGACCTGACTCTGCGCCTTGGCCAGGCCGAAGTCCGTGATCTTGATCTCGCCCTCGCGCGACATCAGCACGTTTGGAGGGCTGATGTCGCGGTGCACGATATGCAGCGGACGCCCTTCCAGATCGCGCTTGTTGTGCGCGTGCGCCAGGCCCTTGCAGATCTCGATGGCGATATAGACCACCTGCTCCACCGGGAGCTGCATCTTCTGGCTGACCACGTACTCCAGGACATTCTTGAGGTTGGTCCCGTCGATGAACTCCATCACGATGAAGTATGTGCCATCGGCGATCCCGAGATCGAAGACCTGGACGCAGTTGGTGTGGTTGAGGTGGAGAGAAACCTTGGCCTCGTCCAGGAACATGCGGATGAAGCGTTGGTTTTTTGTCAGCGATGGGAGGACGCGTTTGATGGCCACCAACTTCTGGAAGCCCTGCATGCTGGTCGCTTCGGCCTTGAAGACCTCCGCCATACCACCCGCGTCGATACGCTCGATAACCTGATATCTCGGCTGCGCCATTCGCGCGACTCGCTCGCTGTGATGGATCGAAGGTGCAGGAAGTCAGCGATATGCTCGACCACACACACCATCAGGATTGGAACCTGTTCGAGTTATAATCCATCCACCCCACCTTGTCTAATTCCCTTGTCCCCTTCTCACGCTTCGCGCTCCTGTTCCCTACAAGCATGCACCTGCTCTGCGCCATGCCCCCGGCGCTTGCTCCCGAGCCGCTCTCCGCTACAATGTCGATAGAATCGACCGTCTAGATAAACGCACAGGGGGAACAAGCATGGCACTGTCTGGAGCAGGTTCGGCCAAACACTCGAAGACCGATCCGGTCGAACGCACCTATAAACGAGAGCTTCGCCCTGTTGGCCCGGATTACGAACAGGATATCATCCCATACCAGGAGGGCTTCTGGGCCCAGTACAAATGGCGTGTCGTGTTCAGCTCTCTGGGCTTCCTCGCGGCCGTCGCGCTGTGGGTCGCTTACTTCTTCTTGCCCCAGAGCAGGTTTGACACCTACGCGATGGGCCCGATCATGGCATTCTTGCTCTTCTTGACGCCGGTGATGGGCGCGCTCCCGATCTGGTATTACGTCCGCTACAGACGAACCCAACGCGTGTTGGAGTACTCTCTCGACGACGACGACATCCCTGAAGAGGTCAAGGTCGCGTTCGAATTCGAGGAAGAGCGAGAAGAGGTCGAGGTCGACCTCTTCTCGACTATCGAGGAAAAGAGCAGCAGATAAGCGAGCTCTACTTGAGCGCCTTGGGCGTGCGCTTGGGTCGGACGTTCTTCCTGGTGGTCTTTCCCTTGGTGGTGGGAGCAGCCTTTTTGGCACCAGCCTTGTTCGTGGCGCCCTTGGCACCCTTAGTGCTCGGACCACGCGCGGCGGCCACGGAGCCCTTTGGCTTCATCTTGCCGATAAGCCCGGTGAACGCGATGCCGTACCAATCATCCGAAGACTTGCCAGAGCGGAAGAGCTGGATGTTGAGGATCGGGCTCAGGCTGTTCTCCTTGACGAACTCGGCGTCAAACTGCAGGCGCATGCTGACGTTTGCCATCCCGCGCGCGAACACCCTGGAGAGTTCGACATCCCCCCAGACCTCCATGCGCACATCGCGGCCCTTGGCGCTGAACTCGTCGAACTCGAGGCTCGGGTTCTGCGCGCCCTTGTCCTTGACGATGTTGGCCTTGAGGACGAACGTCCCGAAGTTCGTCTGGGGAACCTCGAGGTAGGCCATCGAGGGGAGCATCTCGGTCTTGACCGTGGCTGGCCCGACCGTGAGCTTCTTTCCTTTCAAGTCGATGTTTCCAGCGACAGGTCGGCGCGTCTTCGGATCGATCTCGATCTCGACGTCGCCCTCCAGCGTGCCAAACCCAGGCACGCCCGTGACGCTCTGAAGAATCGACGCCTTGTACATGTCCACATCGGCAAAGTTCGCCGTGAAGCGACCGCCATCGGAGTTCTGCACGAACTCACCGCTGATCAGGCCACCGTCCTCGAAGTCCACATCATACTGGGCGCCGAGCCCGAGGTTGATGATCGACTTGAGGATCGAGACGCGACCGGCGACGCGGGGGATCGTGACCGTGAGCGGCTCCTGCGGAGGCGCGCCCTCGGCGACCTCAGCCTCGACGCGCGCCTTCTTCTCCTCGGTCCACTTCTCTTTGAGGCGCACGTTCTCGAGTTCGATGCCGGTGAACCACCACAGGTCGAGGTCATCGATGCGCACCTCCCAGATCCTGTCTCCGGCGTCGGCGCGCTTGCCGGCGTTGAGCGCCTGCTCCGCTTGCACGATCACGATTTGCTTGACCCGCTCGTCTGGAAACGTCAGCACCAGCGCGGCCAGGAAGACCACCAGCGTGAACAGACCATAGAGAGGGATCCTGACGATTTTTCTATCGAGCAATTCCACCGATCAGCTCTCCTGCTCTTTCATGGTGTAGGTCGAGATGGTGATGTTGGCGCGCACGAAGCCCTTCTTGTTGCGCACGTCGCGCAGGTTGATGCGCTTGATCACGACCGGCTCCTTGCTCTTCTCGATCCTGTCGAGGAGCTTGAGCAGTTTCTCCATCTCGGCCTCGCGAATATCCACGCGAAGCTGCTGCTCGGTGATGATCGGCCCGGTCGAGTCCTTGGTCGACAGCTTGAGCGAATCCTCATCGTAGTTGTCGACCTTGATGTCGACCGCGCTCGCTTGCGTGGCCACGAAACTGGTCAACTGCAGCCCTTTTTGAGCAGCTCGGCGGCGGTGAAGCGGCGCTCTTCCGTCATCATCCTTATTTCGCCCTCCCTTTTCTTGCCCGTTGCCTCAGGTACTTGGGTCGATACCCCGAGCGCGTCGAGCGTCTTCTCGTAGCGCGAGATCTCCTCTTCGGTCTCACTCAAGGACTTGTTGAAGAGGTAGATCGACCCGGCCAACCCCAGAAACAGGAAGTTGCAGATCATCAAGATCAACAGCTTCCGCTCGCGGTCGGTCAGGTTCTCCCAGGCTTGCTTGACGCCGCCCGAGGACTGCTCTTCCATCAATTCTTCCGTCATCCTCTATCCTCTACAGGCGTTCTTCAGGAGCAGGCGCTCGCGATCTGGAGTTCGAAATCCACCTCGCTCTCGCTCCTCACCTGGAGCTTGTCTTTCTTGATCGACTTGAGGCACTCGAGCTTCTCGAGATCGTTCACGATCTTATCCACGGCCTGTGGCGTGTTCGTCTTGCCATAGACCTGGATGAGATTGCGATCCGAATCGACCTCGATGCGCGAGAGCTCGAGCTGCGTGTCCGCAGAGAGCTTGTCCGAGAGCTGGTAGAACACCTCGTAGGCGCTCATCTTTGGCACGAAGCCGCCCTCGCCCTCCTCCTCGCTCTCGGCCCTCGATTTGATGTCAGCCGCGCGCCACACCGGCGAACCGAAGACCTTCTTGGTCTCCTTGCTCACCGCCGCGCGCATCGCATCGCGCTGCGCGTTCAGGTCGCGCTTCTTCATAAAGAGCACGCCCGCCAACAACACGAGCAACACCGCCGCCGCCGCCGCGAGCCTCGTGAGCTGCGCGCGCAGATAACTCGAGCGCCCGCGGTAAGCGAACTCTCCCTGCCGGAGGTCGAGCAAACGCTGGCGCGTGCGATCCCTGTACTGCTGGAGCGCGTGGCCATAGGCGAGCGGCATCTTGGTCAGCGCGTCATCCCCGAGCGGTTGCTCTGGGGAGATTTCCTCGTCGATCTTCAACGCGCTTACTGGCACGCCGCCGAACTCTCGCGTGAGGTATCCCGTCAGGTTCCCCACGCGGCTCGCGCCACCCGTGATATAGATCTTCTCGAGCTCGACGCGATCCTTTGCATACAACGACTTGAACGAACGGCGCAGATCTCGAACCAATGGCTCGAGCGCGCTGACCACAGCCTTGCTCAAAGCCTCTCTTGCGGGGTCCTGAGCCTCGCCGACGCCGAGGATCGCGGCCTGCGCGTGCTTGACTGGCGCGGCCTCTTCCTCAGAACACTGGAAGATCTCGGCGATGGCGCGCGTGACATCGGCGCCGCCAATATTCATCGCGCGCGTGAGCACCACGCGGCCATTCTGAACCACCAGCACACGCGTCGTCTCGTGCCCCATATCGACGAGCGCGAAGGTCCCCTCCTGATAGTCGGGGACATGCGCCTCGGCCACGTAACGGAGCATCATCTCGGGGACGCCCACGATCATGGGGTTCACGCCCACGCCGCTCAGATCCTCGAGGAACTCGCCGAGCTCGCGCTTTCTGGCAAAGCCGACATACGCCTGGTGCTTCTCTTCCTCGCTCTGGATGAAGAAGTCGTAGGAGACATCCCTTGTGGCAAACGGCAACCTGTTGTCGAGCTGCGGCGGGAGGATCTTCTCGACCTGCGCGCGATCACCGAAGGGGACCTCCATGCTCATCGTCACCGACTTGCCCCAGGGGAGCGAGGTGATGATCGTGTCCGATTGCGGGAGGTCGCCCATGATGCGCTGCACGGCCATCAACCAGAGCTTCTCATCCTCGAGCGGAGCGCCAGCCTCTTCGGCTGGCGCAGGCTCTTCCTGCTCGCCAGCCTCCTCGCCATCTTCTGACGGAGCATCCCACTCGCCGGTGTCTTCCTCCGGCTCGGCCCACTCCGTCGGGCCATCCTCGTGGACGGCGTCATCGGGCGTGGGGGGAGGTCCCTGACTTGCAGGCGCTGACGCAGCGGCAGCCTTGGCGATCGCCTCGAGGCGACGCTCGCTGTACTGCACGAGCTGGTAGCGCTTCTTTGGGTCGAGCACCACGGCCTTGACCGAGTAGGTGCCTATGTCGAGCCCGATGATCATCTTGCTTTCTCCACACTGTATCGCGCGAGGATGAGGCAAACCTCATCCTCGCAAACCGAACCAATCAGAACTCTCTCCAATAAAGGACGCGCCCCTTGGGCATCGCCTCGCGCTCCTCGCGCAACAACTTCTTGAGCTCGCGCAGATCCTCGGTGTCCTCCTCCTGCTCCTCGAGCTGCTGCTCGTCAGGGAGGCGTCGGATCGTCTTGCCCATATCGACGATGACCTCGATTCGGCTCTCGGTCGTACCATACTGACCAGAGGCCGAAATCCTAAAAATCTGCGGCGAAGAGGTCGACACCGAGCGCGTCAAACCTGCCGAGTCGAAGTCGATGGTCCACTGCGGGAAATTTGGCGCCAGCGGATCGACCGCCATATCCGGGTTGAGCGCTGCAAACTGCTGATAGAATGGCGAGTACTGGATAAACTGCGCCATCAGCGCCGGGTTCGCCTTGAAGTCCTCGATGTAACGAGGGAACTGACCCACGCTCAAGAACGCCACCGGCTGCCCCTTCTTCGCCGAGGGCAACAGCTTGGACTCCTGCGTCCCCACATACGCGAGCAACACCGAGAGCGGGTCGTCAAAGAACTGCCTCACCCCATCGAGCGCCATGGCAAACCAGAGCACCTGCGCGGCGACGAGCGGCTCTCTGGCGCAGAGCCCGAACCCCTTGACGTCCTTGTTCCCCATAAGGTTCACGTTGCGGCAGAGCACCGAGTAGAACACGGGCGCCTCGGCCACGTTGATGTTCGGGCGCCCGACGTCATACACGGTGAACTTGCTGCCAAACTGATCCATGAACGCCTGGTCGATGCCGTGAACCTGGAAGAGGTCATCGACGTGCGTCAGCAAGGCGTTGCGAGGCTTGACCTTGGACTTGTCATCGCGGCTGTAAATCCGCCCTTCATCACCACCCGAACCTTCGATGGCGCACTCCTCGTTGAGGAGCACCGCCTCCTGATCAGGGTCCACGAAGTCGATCAGGTTCTGGAGGATCGCCTGCCTGTCGAGCGTCTCGCCATACTCGTCCTTGCGAGAGAACAGGTCATCGTATTGAGGATCGAGGAACAACGCACACAACTGGATGACGTCGTTGTTGTCGATCTTGGCCTTGGCCAAATCATTGATGCTGATGCGGCCCGCCTCGGGTCGCACCGTCGCGGTGAACTCGCCGGTAAAGTTCCCGAAGCCCTCGACACCGCTATCCTCCAAATCGATCCCGCCCACGGGGGTCTCGAGCTTGCCGGAGTGAAACGGCTTCATCAGCAGATCAACGTATTGGTAGATCTGGAAATTCGAGCGGCGCATCGCGCGGCTGATCAACTGCCCCATGTCATCATCGGTCGCGCCAGACTCCTTCTGCAGGGCGACCTGGAAAGAGAGCATCAGCGAGGAGATGTTCACCGCGCTGCGCGCCAGATAATAGCTCTTGAGGCGGTCGCGCTCGTTGCTCGCCATCGAGAGGTTCACGCGCGAGATGTAGGCGAACTCCACCACCGCAGAGCTCATCAGCGCGATCGTCACCAGCGCGAGCAGCATCGCCACGCCGCGAGGGTGTTTGGTCCTGGCGCGCTCTTTCGAGACCACCGGGCGGTCGACCACCTTCAGCAGCCAGAGCGTCGCGTGACCCACAGGTTTGAGGAGTGTATCGATCATCAGAACTCCAACACCTCGGTCGTGGCCAGTTGCACCTGCGTGGTGAAGATCTCGGGCTCGGAGCGCTCGTTTTGCGGCGGCAGCGTGACCTTGATCTTGACCCTCGTAGGCAGGCGACCGGCGAAGTCGCGGCGAGTCGTGTCCCACTCTTGAATCCAGCGGCCCTCGGCGACCTCTTCGAGCGTGCCGACGCGGACCTCACCGGCGTCCCAGTATTCGAACTCGATCTCCTCGATCTCGGGGATCATCACATAGATCGTGCCGCCGCTGTCGAGCTTGTCATCGGGCGAGGGATCCTCCCTTCGCACCAGCTGCGTGACGAAGCGGCCCGTGGCATCATCGCGCTCGCGACGCATAAAGTAAGAGATCTCGGCGTGCTGAGAGGTCGGCTCGCGATCCTGCTTGCGCACATGCGCGAAGGCGGTGAAGTCGACGCGCTCGTCGCTCCCCTTGAACCCGAACTGGATCGGGTCATTGGCAAAGGCCGCCTGGACCTCTTCCTCGGTGAGCTGTGTAGGGTCGCGCTCCTGACCGGGGATCTCCTCGCCGCCATGCTGTGGACCAGCCATGTAAGCCGCGGAGAGCTCGTTGGTCATGCGCCCCATCGAGTTTCGCACGATCTGAAAGCGCTCGTAGCGCGCCTCGAAGTACTCGCGCGCGTTAAAGATCGAGTTGATCGCGGCCCACATCATCGCCGTCAACCCGACAAGGATCGAGACCGCGATGAGCACCTCGACGAGCGTGAAGCCGCGTTGCCCCCGGCGCCCTTTTGGAATCCGGCGCTTCATGGAGCCTCCGCTGCTTCGAACAACTGGAAGTCCGCGTCATTGCGATCCACGATGTATTGCACCACCGTGATCGGATACATGTCCCCCATGTAGGGGAACTCCACCTTGAGCTCCACGCGCCGCACCTTCTCGCCGATGCGGTTGATGATCTCGGGCATCTGGCCAATAAGCATCGGAAGCATCGAGCTGAACGCCGCGTTTCCTTGCAGCGCGCCCTCGTTATCGACGCCGCCAAAGAGCTGCGAGTTGATCTTTGCCAGCAGCTCTTCCTTGGCTTCATCCGGGATTTGCACGGGCTCGACGGTCGCCGTCCAGCGCACGTCCGGCGAGCCTTCCTGACGGAAGTCTCCCGACATGGTCTGATCGAGGTCGGAGAAGCCCTCTTTCATAACCTCGTATTCGATATCGACCATCTTGCCGCGCGCGAGCAAGCTCGCGCGCGAGAGCTCCGTGCTGAAGACCGCCTGCTGGTTGCTCGTGGCCTGCGTACCCATCAGGACCGTCATCACCGAGGCCAGGATCGCGAGCGCGATCAGGACCTCGAGCAGGGAGTATCCAGCGCGAGACAGGTCGCGCATCGATGGCGCCTTTCTTCGTCTCTCAGTCATCGTCTTCTCCCAGACCAAAATCACTCGAAGGCATGATCTCGTCGCTAAACAGAAGCACGCGCCCTGTCAGGGGCTCGGTCTGTAGCGTGAAGATCGCGCCGCGCGAGTCCTCCATATGGATGATCAAAGGATCCTGAAAACCGTTGGGGTAGAAGTTGAGGTAAGCGCGACCGGCGCTCACCTCGCCGACAGCCGGGACAAAGACGCGCGTGAACTTGACGCCATCCTTGAGCTTCCCCGGCTTCATGACCGCGTCCTGCACGCGCTGGTAGGAGACCTTGCGGCTGATGCCGAACGGGTTGTCCTCCTCGTCATCGAAGAGGTCGTTCTCGGCCTTCTTCTTCTCGGCCAGCTCGATCGCTTCCTCGGTCAGAAGATCCTCGTCCTCTTCCGGGTCGGAGGCGAACTCGTCCACCAGCGCGCTCTGTACGACCTCGGTGTGGTAGGTGTTCGCCTCCAGGTCGATGACCATACGGTACTGCGTGTTGTTCACCGCGGCCTGGTTGTACATATACCGGATCGAGGCGCTCATCTGACGCGCCGATGCCTTTAAATCACCCGCCGTGACCATATCGACCATGTAGGCGCCAACGCCCACGAGGCCAGCCACGATCGCCATCACGACGAGGACCTCGACAAGCGAGAAGCCGCGCGCTGATTTTTTGACATCGATTCCCATCAAAGCTCTTCGCTCACTTCCCGGCGCGAATGTCGTCCTCGGTTCCTTCCAATCCATCAGGTCCGGCCGAGACAATCTCCCACTCGCGGTTGCCCGTCTTGCGGTAGATGTACTCGCCACCCCAGGGGTCCTGGGGCAGCTTCTTTGCCACCGGCGGCTTCCCCTCGGTCAGCTGCGCGAGCGTCTCTGGCGCCTTGGGAGGCGACTGCATGAGCACGTACTGCTCGACCATTCTGTCGAGGTTGCCCGCTTCGATCTTTGCCTCCTTGATGTTGGCTTCGACCAATGCGCCGACGGCGTAGACGCCGACGACGCCAGCAATAGAGGCCATGATCGTCAAGACGATCAGGACCTCGACGAGCGACATGCCGCGCCTGGCGCTCTTTTGGAGCGCCTGGCGTGCCTCTGACAGACGCTGCATCAGCGTTTGCTCTGATTCGTGGCTCTTTATCCCGGTATCCATAAGGCAAATCTCCTCTGGCTCGTGCGATCTCTGGTGCGGGTTCACTGACTACCCAGGCCAGTGATTCTCACTGCTCTGGGCGGACGTCATCCTCGGTGCCCTCGGAGCCGTCTGGCCCGGCCGAGAAGATCTCCCACTCGCGGTTGCCCGTCTTGCGGTAGACGTAGTCGTTACCCCATGGGTCCTGTGGGATCTTCTTGGTGACAGGTGCGCGGCCCTGCGTGAGCGCCTCGAGGCTATCGGGAGCCTTGGGAGGCGATTGCATGAGCATGTACTGCTGCACCATCTTGTCGAGGTTGCCGACCTCGATGGTCGCTTCCTTGACGTTGGACTCCTCGAGCGCGCCGACGGCGTAAACGCCGACGACGCCAGCGATGGAAGCCATGATCGTCAAGACGATCAGAACCTCGACGAGCGACATACCGCGCCTGGCGTTCTTTTGGAGCGCCTGGCGCGCTGCCGCGAGCTTCTGGGTCAAGGTCAAGGTCTGGACTTCGTTCTTCTCCACCGTGTTCATCGTATCCTCCGTCATGTATTGCCCTTCTCTATTCGGGCTCGATGAATTGTACTTTGCATTACGCAGTGAGCCTTTGCTCACATCTCTTTGACGCTCGAAGGCGCCATCACATTCAACCTGGCCCGCGTCACATCGCGGCCTGGTTCATCTCGAGGATCGGGAGCATGATCGCGAACACGATGAACGCGACCGAGATCCCCATCCCCACGATAAGCAGCGGCTCGAGCAAGGTCGTCGCCGCCTGAATCCTCATATCCACTTGCTGGTTGTAGCTGACCGCCACGTTCTCGAGCATCTCCTCGAGCTGACCGGTGCGCTCGCCAATCGCGATCATGTGCGTGACGAGCGGCGGAAACTCACCGCTTCGCTTGAGCGGCACCGCGATCGCCTCGCCCTCGCGCACGTTCACGCGCACTTCCTCGATGACCTCGATCAGGCGAGCGTTCCCGAGGATGTTCTTGACGATCTCGAGCGCCGAGAGCAGCGGCACACCGCTCGAGAGCAGCGTGCCGAGCGTTCGCGCGAAGCGCGCGATGGCGATCATGCGGATCACGCCCGAGACCACCGGGACCTTGAGCAGGAACCTGTCCCACTTGGGCTTACCCTTCTCGGACTTGCGCCAGCGGTTAAACGCCCAGGCGCCGAGGATGATCGTCGGCAGGATGATGAACCACCCGCCGATGAACACATCGTTCATGAACAACAAGATCTGTGTAGGCAGCGGCAGCGCGCGGTCCTGATCCTGGAAGATCGCGGTGACCTTGGGGATCACGAACGCGAACAAAAACCCGAGGATCCCTGTCCCCACCACCGTCATCAGCAGCGGGTAAATCATGGCCGAGGTGACCTTGCTGCGAAGCTCCATCTGGTTCTCGAGGAACTCCGTCAGACGCTCGAGCACCACGTCGAGGTTGCCCGAAGACTCCCCCGCCTTGACCATGTTCACGTACAGGTGATTGAAGTGCTTGGTGTGCTGCCCGAGCGCGTTGGCGAGCGAGGAGCCCTCGTTGACCTGCCGACGCACATCCGCCAGGACGCGCTTGAGCTCGTCCTTTTCGGCCTGCTCTGTGAGCGCCGAGAGCGACTCGACGAGCGGGATGCCCGCGCGCAACAAGGTCGAGAGCTGACGCGTGAGCACGGAGATGTCGCGCAACGTGACAAACTGCAAACTGCGCGCGAGATCGAACTCGCCCTTGTTCGCCGTCGATCCGCCCTTGCCCTCGTGGACGTCGGTGACAAAGATCCCTCGCTTCTGCAAGATCTGCTGGAGCGCGCCTTTGTTCTCGGCGTCGAGGATCCCCTTGATGGTCTTGCCCGACTTGTCCAGGCCTTTGTATTCGTAAACAGGCATCGCTGCTCTTACCCTGTCGCCTTTGCTCTCTCACTCACTTCACGCGCTCCCTCGACTTGAAACCGACGAGGGGCGCCAATCATTCAACTCGCGTCACTCAAACCGGCCGCGTCCTCGAGCCCCTCACTGGTCACGCGCAGCACCTCTTCGATGCTGGTCTTGCCAGTGAGCACCTTCAAGGCGCCATCCTCGCGCAGAGAACGCATCTTGTGTGCGGTCGACGCCTCGCGCTTGATCGTGCCGCTGTCGGCGCGGTTCATCACCAGACGCCTGACCGAATCCTTGACCTCGAGCAGCTCGTAGATGCCCGCGCGGCCCTTGTATCCAAGGCCCACGCACGTGTCGCATCCTCCCTCGCGAGGCTTGTAGATAAAGCCGCGCTCGGTCTGGAAGTCGATGTCGTGTTGGGTCAAGCCCAGCTCCTCGAGCTCTTCGGAGGTCGGGCGGTACGGCTCCTTGCAATCGGGACACAGGCGACGCACCAGGCGTTGCGCCATCGTCAGAATCACAGTCGACGCCACGAGGAAGGGCTCGACGCCCATATCCGTCAGGCGCGCGAAGGCGCCCGCCGCGTCGTTGGTGTGCAAGGTGCTAAAGACGAGGTGACCGGTGAGAGATGCCTGGATGGCCATCTCGGCGGTCTCCGCGTCACGAATCTCACCGACCATGATCACGTCCGGGTCGTGACGCAGGTAGCTGCGCAACCCGGAGGCAAACGTCAGGTCGATCTTGGCGTTGGTCTGCATCTGGCTGATCCCTTCGAGCTGGTACTCGACAGGATCCTCGATCGTCAGGATGTTCTTGTCGGGGCTGTTGATCTCGCTCAGGCACGAATACAGCGTGGTGGTCTTTCCTGAACCGGTCGGTCCCGTCACGAGGATGATGCCGTGCGGGCGGTTGATCATGCTCAGGATGGTCTTGAGCTGATCGGGCGCGAAGCCGATGGTGCGCACGTCGAGCAACATCGCCGACTTGTCGAGCAATCGCATCGTCACGCGCTCGCCATGCGCCGAGGGCGCCGTCGCCACGCGGATGTCGATGTCCTTACCCGCCATCTTGATGCGGATACGACCATCCTGCGGGACGCGCTTCTCGGCGATGTTCAGGTCCGCCATGATCTTGATACGCGTGATGATACTCGAGTGGAAACGCTTTGGCGGCGCGGCGACCTCTTTCAGGATGCCGTCGATGCGGAACCGGACGCGGATCTCCTTCTCGCCGGGCTCGATGTGAATATCCGAGGCGCGCTCTCGCACCGACTGGATAAACAAGCTGTTCACGAACTGGATGACAGGTGCCTCATCGTCATCTGCGGCCTCGATAAGATCGAGCGCGTTGACCTCGGCGTCACCTGTGACAGGGCTCTCCTCGTCGGATTCGAAGTCACGGATCGCTGCGCCGATTTCGCGCGCCTTGCGGTCAAACGCCGCGTTCACCGCCTCGGTCAATACCTTCGAGGGCACCATCACTGGCAAGACCTCGGCGCCGAGCAAGAGGCGGACCTCATCGAGCACATCCACATCGAGCGGATCATTGGTGCCGACCTCGACATAGCGAGGGCTGCGGCCGAGCGGCAGGATCAGGTTCTCGCGGCAGAAGCTGAGGTTCAGATCCGCGAGCAGCGTCAGATCGAGCTCGTCGGCGGCGATCGACTCCACCATCGGGTAGTCGAGCTGGTGCGCGATCGCGGCGGCCACGTCAACCTCGTCACAGGCGTCCATATCGATCAGGATCTCTCCCACGCGCAATCGCTCTCCAGTGCGGCTCGCCTTCTCCACCTGGAGCTTGAGCGCACGCTGCACCTGATCCGTTGTCACCTTGCCGCGTTGTACCAGGATCTCGCCGATTCGTTGCCTGTTATACATCGTCTTCGCTTCTCCGCTTTGCTCAGGGCGTCTTCACGACGCGCCGTCAGCCCTTGTTTCGACAGCGCCCTTGCCACAACGGCGAAGGCGCCTCCAGTGCTTACTCTTGTCCGCCGTCTGCGGGAGCGTCCGTGGCGGGAGCATCGGTCGCGGGGGCATCCGTGGCAGGAGCATCTGCTCCATCGTTGCCCGCGTCTCCGTCTCCGTCGCCGGTGTCATCGCCAGCATCCACGCCAGCTGCGCCCGTGGGCACGCCGAGGATGCGGTAGCGAGGTCCGGTCTCTTCGAACGCCTCGAGCGCTTCGCGGCGCGCGGTCTCCTCGTCGAGCGCGTCGCCGATGGTGTCGCGCATGCGATCCACGAGGCCGCCCTTCTTCTCGTAGTTGACCGTCTTCATGTAATCGATGTCGCGCTTCTGGAAGAGCTTGAGGAGCTCCTCGCGCTCCTTGCGCTTGCGCTCGTGGATTTTGCGCAGATCCGACTCCCCTTCGATGATGTAGGGGGTCAGCATCAGGATCAGGTTCTGCTTGGTCTTGACCGTATTCTTGCTGCGGAACAGGACGCCGATGACCGGGATATCGCCCATGAAGGGGACCTTGGTCTCGGTCTCGTTCTCGTCATCGCGAATCAAGCCGCCGATCACGACCGTGGACTGATCCTTGACCAGCACGATGGTGCGAATGCTTCGCTTGGAGCGTGTCGGACCAAGATCCGAGGGAGCGCCGATGGAGGAGACCTCCTGGTCGACCTCGAGGCGCACGTACTTGGACTCGTTGACCTGGGGCGTGATGCGCAGCGTGATACCGACATCCTCGTACTGGACCTGGTTGCCGAGCAGGCCGCCGCCGAGCAAACCTCCGAGCGCTGCCGCCGAGGTCCCCGTCGCGCCCGCGCCACCCGCGGCGCCGAGCAAGTTCCCCAGGCCGCCAGCGCCGACAACGCGAGGGAATGGGACGCGGTCACCGACCACGATCTCGGCCTCCTCGTTGTCGAGCGTCATCAGCGATGGCGTCGAGAGGATGTTGATGTTGTCTTCGCGCTGGGTCGCCTGCAGATAAACCGCGAATGCCGACGGCGTGAGCCCGAGGTTGCTGATGCCGGGGATGTTGATCGCCGGACCGAGCAACGCGAGCAAGCCGCCCGCGGTGTCAGGGCTTTGCGGCGTCTTGAAGATGATGCCGCCGTTGGTATCGGTGATGACGCCATCCTCGACCGCAGACTCGGGAATCACTCCCTCGAAGTCACGCGGCGCGAGCGCGTTGTAGCTCAAGCCCACGTTGAGATCGTCCTTGAAGTTGAGCTCCATGATGACCGCCTCGACGTAAACCTGACGGCGCGGCCTGTCCAACAACCCGATGACGCGCTCGAGCGCCAGGTAATCGCGCGGTGAGGCGACGATGATGAGCGAGTTACTCGGTCGGTAGGACGTGATCTGCACGTCACCCTGGAGGAGCTGCGCCGAGGACGAACCATTGGCGTTGGGGGTCGTGGTCGTGGGACGCGCCGAGCGCGTGTTCCGCGTGTTGCGGTTGTTCGACGATCCACTGGCGAGGCTGCTGAGCGTGCTCGCGAGGTCGTCAGCGTTGGCGTACTCGAGGAACTTGACGTGGATCTGACCACCGGCGGTCGTCGGCACATCGAGCAGCTCGATCATCTGACGGATGCGGTCGAAGGAGCGCTCGTTGGTCAGGATGATGAGCTGGTTGGTGCGCTCGTCGGCGATGATCTCGCTGATCTCGACGTCGTTCTCGGAGGAATCACCGCCTGCATCCACGGGCGCGGTGCTCTTGGCGTTGGTGTTTCGGCGCGTGTTTCGGCGCGTGTTGCGGCGCGCGCTGGTGTTCGCCTGCTGGACCTCGAAGATCTCGGTGAGCTTGGCCTGGATCTCGGTCGCCTCGGCGTGGAGCACCTTGTAGACGTAGAGCTGATCGCTCGCCTCGGACTTGTCCAACCTGTCGATCAGGCGCTGCACGCGCCGAAGGTTGTGACCGTAGTCGGTGATAATAAAGCTCGAGCCGTAGGTGATGATCGTCGCATCCGGCGAGGTGAACTGCTGGATGATCTTCTGCATGTCATCGACCGAGGCGTTCTCGACCGGGACGATGGCGGTGACCATGCGCGCTTCGTTGGGGATCCTCTCTCCGGCGCCGATCGGCTCGCCGCCGACCTGCTTGGCCGTCTTCGAGGAGACGATCTTGAGGAAGCTGCCGTAGGGCACGATCGTCAACCCGTTCATCTCGAGCGCCGCGAGGAAGGCCTGATACGCCTGATTGATGGAGACGGGCTTTGGCGAGATGATCGTGATCGTCTTGCTGGCCTGCAGCGTGTCATCGATGATGAAGTTCTTGTTCATCATCGAGGAGTAGAACTTGACGACCTCCTCGAGCTGCGCCTGGCGAAAGTCGATGGTGACCTTGATGTTGCGAGGCGTGCGCTTTGGACGGTAGTCCGGATCAAAGTTTGGCGGCAGGTTGTAGGTCTCGTTCGGGTTGACGTTCTCGCCGTTCAAGACCTTGTCGCCATCTTCCTGCGCCATGGCCACGGACGCCCCCATCGTCGAGAGCAGCACCACGGCGCAGAGGCCGAGCAATGCTTTGGTGAGTCGGCGCGTGGCCATGGCGAGCGTCCTTTTGCGTTGTCCTGTCATCTGGTCGAACTCATCACGAGGGTTCGAGCCGCCGCGCGGCATCTTATCTGAAGCAATCAATGTCATTTATGTCTCGTCACGAAGCCCGCCTCGCGCGCCCTCCTCGTGGGATGAGGCGGCGAGCGCGGGGATCGAAAAGTTCTTATTTGATGTCGTAGTTGTAGGTCTCGCGCTTGCCATTGCGCTCGAGTTCGAGGCGCACGACGTCAGCCTTGCGAAACTTCTCGAAGAGCTCCATGGCGTGCGCCTGGCTCTTGATCTGCTCGCCGTTCACCGAGCGGATCACGTCGCCATTTTGCAGGCCGATCTGGTTGTAGACGCTCGAGCTCTGGATGTTCATCAGCTTCAGGCCAGCCTTCTTCCCGTTCTTGTAGTTCGGGATGATGGTCGCGTCCTTTGCCAGCGACGCGCGATCCTGGAGCTTCTGGTCGAGCGCCTTGCGATCGACTCGGAACGCCCCTTTGCTGACCTGCTGCACGCTCGCGCCG